TAGTAAGCATTAGCCTAGGAGAAGTGAATTACAGAGTTAGATATGATCATTGCTAGTAAAGCTTAGTTAGAACAGCCTATAGTGCAAGTTGCTGAAGTATTTCTATGATACTTTAAGTGTTTCTATGATACTTTTATAGTGTCTAGCATATACACTAGCATATAGTGGGCCTGTACATTCTGAAACAACAAAAAAAATGGAAAATATGAAACAGTGGTTTTAAGAGGATAACATCATGCAACAAAAAACAGTAATCCATGAAAGGGAACACATGATGAGCCCTACGTTGCCCCAGCTTACAGCCCTGAGGGGGTCCAGGCTACAATGCAAGGAGTAGAAATCAAGGTGAGTTCCCTGAGTTAAGGAATGAAAATTGAGAATCCAGGGAGACACAGGTTGCTAGGGTTCCAGGACAGAGTGTGGGAGAGAAGACAGCTGCACAAAGGGAGAACTTCAGAGCTGTCTGAGGGGCCCTCTGAGTATTGCACTGAGTACTGGTCAGCATGTGCATGTGAGGAAACTACCTGAGGCTGGAGAGGAAGCATCCAAAAAGGTTCACGGTGACAGTGTCCAGCACACACACACAGTACCAGTTCCCACCAGCCAGAATCAGAACCCTTCTGATTCATGGGGCGCTGGGGAGAATATACAACAGGGTCTTGTCTCAGTAGCAGAGAACGATTAGCCCCAGAATCAGCACTGCTCTGGTCCTAACTAATCTTAAAGCAAGATGACCCATTTCCAGGTAGCTGCATACCCAATAGAGCTTAAGGATGTTCAGAGGAATACAAAAACACACAGCACCCAACAAGGAAAAAAATCACAGTTTCTGGCATCTAAAGTTATCAGGCATGCAAAGAAGGAGGAAGGTACAACCCATAATGAGAAATTAATCAAATCTGACATAAAACTAACACAGATGTCAGAACTGGCAGGCAAGGATGTTGAAACAGCTAGTGTAACTATTCCATACGTTCAAAGAATAACACCAGTAGATGGTGATATGAGAGAAAGCGACAGTAGTTTACTTAACCAGTAGGAAAATGATGGGTGATTTCCTTTAGTAAAAGATATTTACCACGTGGTCACGTCGGATTTAAAGGTGATCCTAATATAAGACCTGAAGCTGCTTTGACTAATTGTTTGAGGACTAACTATTCTTACGCAAGGAGACTAAGCCGTAAGTACTAAATTAAGGGACAGACAATGATTCTTCCATGTGGGCCATGTTGCCAACACCCCTAGAGTCTGGCCTAACCTTTTGCATGTTAGTACAAAAAGATGCATGAAAATCTGGGAAGAATTAATCTGGACTCTAATTGGCTTTGCTCCAGTTAACCTGTCTGTGAAGGCTTTTGCCCTCAGGGATTCTGAGACCACAGCTATTTGCTAATTTTTTCGGTCAGCTTTATTGAGGTATAATTGACAAAACTAAACTGTATATTTAAAGCGTGCATCGTAATGATTTGATAAACACTGGAAAGATTCCTTTCATCTAGTTGTCACCTCACATTTAAAAAACCTTTGGTGAGAACATTTAATTTCTACTCTTAGCAAATTTTAGTTATACAATACAATGTTACCAATCATAATCACCATGTTACACATCATTCGTCTTACAACTAAAAGTTAGTACCCTTTTCCCAACAGTTCCCTATTTTCCTTACCTCCCAAACACTAGTAATCACTTTTCTACTCCCTGTTTCTATGAGTTTGATCTTTTTTTGGCGGGGGTACGGGGGTGGTATTCCACATTTAAGATTCTTTGGTAATTTCTTGAGTGCTTTTCTTTTAGTTCTAATAAGAGATCCAGGATTGAGTCTCATTGGATGGACTGGTCACATGCCCACTCTCAACCAATCAGTGTGACTTGGAAGATGGATTATACACTGACTGGTTAGGTCTGTATGTGAGATGTGTCCATCTCTGAAACTGAGCGGTTTCCCAAAGGAAATCTAAGTGACATTCCCAGAAGAAAGCAGAAATGGAGGTGGGTCAGATCAAAACCACGGTGTCTATCACAACAGTCAGGACTGTAAGCTGAGAACATACACCAAGGTCACTACTGAAATGCATCCACACCAGAGAGCTCTGAGCAGGTGCTAGGTTCCACTTACACTGACACTCCTTTTCCTCCAGAGCATTTACTTAAGGCAGCCGGGGCTTTCAGATAGCTAAAGACAATGGCAGCTGCTTAGCTAGCTACCTCCTAGTACTTCCTTCACAAGCAATCGGAAATAAGAAAGGAAAAGTAAATCTACACAAAACCACACTCTGTGTAACTTGAAGAGAGACTATGTCAAATCTTTAAAATAACTGAGTAAATGAGAAAAAAAAATCACCGAATCCCCACCTGAACTTTCTCACACTTCTACGCCAGCTTCCTCACTGAAAGGTTTGTGGCAGACAGAGCAAACCAAAAAAACTGCCACAAAGACAGAAAAAGGAAACTAGGGAAGGAGTCTAAGGTCGCTCTGGAACACAGAGACTAAATGCACCCTAATCTGGAAGTACTAAAAAGCATCCAGGCAGATCAGAGCATGAACTGCAGGAAAGGAACCTCAAAGTAGACATGATTTAAAAGGTTCAGGCGTGAGTTAAGGAGGCACTCTTCAAAATGCATCGCTTCTGGAGGAGGTTAAAAAAAGGCAAAAGGAAGTGAGAAGCCCCCTTTTGAAACTGTTAAGGGGAAAGAAAAAAGGAACTGAAAATTCCAGGGACAGTAAGAAAAAAGAGAAGTATAATATTGAAGGACTCATGGCCTTTCCCACAACCACCAAATCATCCCAGAATAAGTACCTGGACTTTGCTGTAAGGACAGAAGAAGGTATGATAAATTTGAAATACTTCAAAACAACACAATACCATAAATGTGAACAAGAGGAAAGTTCTACTGC